AAGTATTTTTTAAGAATATAATAGTTTATTTAAAATATAATGCTCCGGACTTATATCGGTTTCCGATTCCTAGTTATACGTATTCGATCGCTATATGTACAGTATAATATACTATATACACAATAACAATAAAGATCTCAGTCTACGTATTTTAATTTTATATTTACAAATATATATATATAATGATAATTCAGTTTTGTTAAAATTAGTGGTCGACCAAAACTTTGCTGGTCAAATTGGTCAATTGGTCAAGTCTATTATACACCAATTTGACCAATAAAATTCTTGGACCGGACTGGTCAAATTGGTCAAACTAGTCTGGTCAAATTGGTCAAACTGGTTTGATCAAATAGTCAAATTGGTCTGGTCAAACCAACACTGAATGATAACATATCGATATGTATATATTTGATACGCGTCTTCCTTTTATCAGCGCATAGTGATAGCGATGGTGCATTGCTTGACCGCATAGACTGACTCACGAAAACGGATGTATCTATTGACGGATAGAGTCATTCAGATGCCAATATGTGAAGAAATAAAACTCTTCTACCCAATTTTTACAGAAGAGTAATTGCCCCAATTTTATCAACAACAGACATATTCGTCCCAATGAACATCACAATACTTTTTTAAATGCCAACTTCTTGGTTTTTTCCATTTGCGTTGTTTAACGCCATGCATTTTTGTAATATAATAATAATACTTTTCATCACTAAAATGGTTTACAAATTTTGGTAAACCGTCCGTACTATGCACTGATAAAAGCTTAAGTTCCAATGGCACCCCATGTGATGATATAGTTGAGATTGATAGTGAATTTGATGAATCTCCCATTTGATTTATCAATGTAGAAGTTAGCGGATTAGATGTATTTGGGGGGTTGTTATAGTTTATGAACGATAATGACGTTCTAGGTGAATTCGCCAACTCACGAACTTCCGGCAAAGTACCATTCTCTGACATGGGAGAAGTTGGGTTTGGTAGTGATGCCGATCTGTATGCAAAGTTAATAAAAATATCTTTTTTCTGCTGGGACATAGGAGATGGGTCGGAAGATACTGAATTCGATCGAGGTTTTATAGGTTTTATGTGTGCTGTCAACGATGACGTAGATGTAAGTGTGGATCGTAAAAGTTCGCGACATGATCTACACACGCAGCTGTTCTCGTGAGCATTTGTGAAATATTCCGTTGGCGGTAATTTTTCCTATTTTTATGCACAAGAGAATTTTTTTAAAAAAAAAAAAATCTCTATGAACGGTAAATTTGAATGGTGCATACCTTATCAACGCGTTTTACAACCATCTGCAAATAAAATAATAACAGTGATAGTAATCATAACATTATTATTAGTTTATATTCTAATATCAAGTATCGATACAATTTTCTTTGAAATACGTACCTTTTTTCCATCCTTTATTCTCTTGACCGTTATGGTTTCCGAATACTTGCCGGTTCCACAAATCACCTTTTCTTTCTTGCCTCTTTTCAACTTCTTAAATATTCTAGAAAATTTTTTTAAAAATCCCCATTTTGTTATATTTTTTTCCGACCTTCCATCATGTTTCGCACATTTGACAATAGTATAAATATTTCCTTGAGAAAATTGATTCAATTTATCGACCAAAGTTTTTCCGCAGCATTCGAATGCACAAGGTGAGTCTTTAAGCTCAATTGGACCTACGGAATGACGTTGGGCGTGTCGCTTTCGGAAATTTGATGTAGGTTTTTCATGATGATGGATTCTATTATCGTCATTTTCGTTTATTCGTGACGTTTGTAAAAAGGTAGATTCTATATTTTCATCGATATCGTTTTCCGGAATATTAAATACAACACTGAGTGGGGAATTTGGCATGTGGAATGAACGAGAGGGTGAACCGGAAGATCTGGCAGTAAGTCGTTGTGAAAGAGAAATTGTTGATCGAGATTTGTAAAGATGTGTTAATGATGACTCTTGACGTGGCATTTCCGAACAGTTCGATTGCATACAGAAATTTTAAATTCCGTTCGGTTTTGTTTTTTTTTTCTTTCTTTTTGACAGGGATTTTATTATCAAAAAAAAAAAAAAAAAAAGGTTGGCGAAGTTGTTGATAAATTTTTTTAGGGGCGGGATGAAGAGGAAAGAGCACAACAAAAATGCTAATATTTGAGGATTGCATAGATTTTATAATTTTTTTTTTGTCAGCAGATAAGGAAACCGAACAATGGACTAAGGTTAGCACTAACCCTTAACTATGCGTATGTAATTTATCCGCATGTCGATTGGACGAATGGTTTAATTTATGATTCAAAAGTATACTTTCATTAATCTGTCCCATTTTACATACTTGGAAAACTGAACATCGTTTTTATTTTTATCCCACCAGAGAAATTTATTTTGTACAACGAGATTAAAAAATATGAAAGGGGTTGCTCGATTTAGAAACAAACTTTATTTTTAATCTATGTATAATGTCTATAACGATTTATAAGAATTTTCGATTTGACCTACGATAAAATGCGCATATACTGTACAATTATTGTGCAATCCACTGCTTCCGATCTCCGTCTGCTGTTATCGTTATACAAAAATTATTGCTTATCACCTGATTGTTAACTTATCAATTACATTGTTTTTAATATTCATATGACACGAAACAATAACGTTAACGTTTAAACAATGGTAAGAATGAACTCGACAAATTGAGCTTTATTTTTGACTCAAGTTGTTTAGAAGGCGTACTTACCTATTCATAATCTGGAAATTTTTGACCAACCAAAAGTATCAAACCAATAAGTAGTACGTACTAGGGTATACTAATCCAAAAATTGCTGAATAATCGGAATTCGGAGCATGTCGTAGCACAAGATTATGAAATTGAACGCGGCCACACATAAACTGGTGTCTGGAAGGTAGCAAATCCTCAATCTATCTTTAATTGACCGAGAAGTGGCTATTTTAACCGTTGTTGCTATCAATTTTGGAGAGAATAATGCGTAGATGCGTGACATCTATGTTTCCACTGACAAACTTGAAATGTATGATGATTACTAAGTTGGGAGTCGTCTAAAGCAGAGTCGTCTGTACAGTGTTGCAATTTTGCCGGCCAATTAGCCAATAACCAATGGCAAAAAGTTTCTAACTTTTATAATATTAGCCAATCATATCACTAGCTTTTCTCTACGTACGTACGTACATACAAATATTTGACTTAAGCCAAATACAGTATTATAATGTCGTCAAGTGACAACACTGAATTATGTAACAATCATTTGTGAAACAAAAAAAGTGAAAAACGTGAATGAAAGAAACAGTATCTAAATCTGCTTTGAGATGCAAATCACATAAGTCACATTGTTATAGTGAAATGATCGAGCTGTGAGATTTTCTTCACTATATCGAGAGTCTATTTATAAATCCGAGGGTTTTTATATAAACTGTTCTTCACTATAACAAGAGTTCACTATAACAAGAGTTCACTGTAACGAGAGTTCACTACAACGAGAGTAACTTGTATTAAGAAAATATCGGGAATAAAAATGGAGTCGGCTCGAATAAACTCAAACTTTAAGCAAATAGAGTCAACTCAGCTCTGAGCAAATTGAATCGAAAGAATTCTTAATAAATCAAACCTTAAATCGAAGCTACTTGTTTAAAAGTGTGAGCAAGTTAAGTAATAAGCTAAGCTAAGTTAACTCAAGTCGAGCTATAACTATTTATAGTTGGTAGTCTATTTTATTTTATTTTATAAATTTAATCTAACTAGAGTTTTGAGCAATCTATAGAAAACATGAAGAAAATTTGTTTTGATTAATTAATTATCAATAATTATAATTGAAAACTAATTTGCAGATCTTTTGTATAATATCTATTGTTAGAGGCAAAATGATCTATAAACAGTGTTGGCATTGTACATATGTTTTATGACAACACTGCCTGTGAATATTATGCTAAATTTATTATAAAACAATGTTTGTGCTTTTACAATAAATTAAACAATAATTTCTCTGCAATAATTTATAAAAATATATCAAGCCAAGCCCCAATATAAGATCTATTATCAAATTTAAAAAAAAGGTTAATTTCAATTAATTTGATTATAAAGAATAAATATATTGTTACAAAGTAGATTTTTAGTATAGATTTTATTAAACATTATTTAGTTATTTTAGTTATTATTATTCAAA